TATGAAGATTTGTTATGAAACTTGCTTGCTTTCTAGCCACTGGATTGTTAGTGGAAATGTACTGAATAGATGTTGGAATATAAAAAGCTTGCTTGGGAAAACAAAGCAGAATCTTTTGCACAAGAACTCTGTGTCATGTTGCTAGCCTGCAACAATGAGGGACTTTTTATAAGGGCATGTAGCAACAAGACGAGAGGAAATGGTTTTAACCTGGAAGAGGGTAGATTTAGACTAGATATTAGGAAGAAATCCTTTACTGCGATGGTGGTGAGACACTGGAACTGGTTGCCCAGTGAGGCTGTGGATGCCCCCTCTCTGGAGGTGCTTAAGCCCAGGCTGGATGGGGCTCTGAGCAACCTGGTCTAGAGGGAGGTGTCCCTGCCTATAGGAGGGAGTTGGAACTAGGTGATCTTAACAGTCTGTTCCAAATCAAACCATACCATGATTCTACGATTCTATGATTGAATAGTGGATGTGTGCACAGTGAAGTGGTGGACGGTGACTTTCAGCATTGGTGACAGTGATGTGAAAGGCAAGCCACATTCCAGACAGCCTTGCACAGCTGCCATGCCACAAAATAACGAGTGTCTCAATCAGCTCATCCACTCAAATTGGTGGATTATGACCATGGAACTGGTCCGAAAATTGGCTTCAGTGTGAGTAAAATGTAGCTCCCCCTCTTGCTTCAGTGTGTTGAAACCAGTGGTGGCAACACTGGAATGCAGATTCTTGTTCATTGCTGGTGAAAATGCATCCCAGAGATCCACTGCACAATGGTGAGCATGCAATTAAGCTGCATCAGCAGCACCAACTAGCTTGTTTCATTCCTCAGGAGAAGTCCAGTTGCCCAACACTTTGCAATAGAGCTAAACTCAGTCTATGCACTGTGAAAAATGTTCAACAACCATGCATCGACAGGTCTGGTGTAGTTTCCCAAACTGGGCCTCCCTCTATCCCCTACTGCAATCTTGGCTGCGAAGAAAACAGATTCATATGCTCTCAGGCAATCTGTTCTGGAAGACTAGAATGTGTGGAAAAAAAAAAATAACCCAACCACTTCACAGTCATTCTGAGCATTATATTGTTTTCAAGACAGTGAACATAGCCTTTGAAATTCATAAGGCACATTGTCTGAGAGAGCACATGCAAACTACGTTGTTATGCTGGCATGAACTGGAACAAAAAGCCTCCTGTCTCTCTTATACAGTTTTTCCAATACACATTATGAGGGCGGGCAGACAGCCATGTACATTTAAGCTCCAGGTGAAGAGGCCACATTTGCCATCTTCCTCCAAAGGGTGGGCCTCCGTAAAGGACAGCATGTGATTCAACAGAAAGGGACTACAAAATTGGTCTGTGTGAATCAGCAGTATGCAGCTGGTTCAGATGGGTACCTCAAAACATGAGTCAAAGCAACGAGACAGCAAACCAGAGAGAGACCATCTTATTTTCTTAAATAAAATGCTACTTAAAAAAAATTAAAAACTTCAGTTTTACTAATAAAATATTACATTGACATTTTACATATCAATACATTCTAAAAATAACCATCCATTGGCTATTACGGTGTTTTTCATGGTTGGGACTCAGGTCATTTGAGCTCTCATTTTCATCCACCATCCGCAGCAATCAAAAAATCAATTTTTTTGGTAATCCTGAAAAGTGTAAATAAAATTGTTACCACAGTGAAGGGATATGATCAATCATCTTTTTTCACACAGTACTCTGTGGAAGCAAATGTTGTTTCTGCATTAGAATTGGATAATATTTTTTTTTATTTCAGGATCTCCGCTGCCATAGTTCTTTCTGGGAGTCCTTCTACTTAACTAGGGGAAGATCTCTGATAGTTGACATCATTTATCCTCTAGATGAACCTTCCCAGGAATGCATACTCTGTATTTAGGTGTATATATGTATATTTTGTCATACAGATTGCAAGAATATCCTGCACGAGACTGATCAAACCAGAGAACAAAAAATGGCATGCTCGAGGAAGCGCCTGAGGAGTCATCGAAAGACCTGACATCATTCCCCCCCCCCCTTCCAGTGCTCTTTGTTTAACGAAGACTTTGAAGGAAATCACCACATCAATATGACAAGAAACATCTTGGAAACAAGAGAAAGACAAGACTGACACCAGATAACAAATAAATTAACAGGTAAATAACAAATGTAAACCTTCTGATAAGATTGCGAACCTGGAGTACCCAGCCAGTGGGGGAATGGGAGGGGGGGAAGGCAAGGGGGAGAAAACAGGGTATAAAGATTGTCACCTTGTGTCCATAGCTGCGCTCCTGCTTGCGGGACACCCACCATTGCAATCGCGAGTAAGATCTTCTTTTATCAGAGATACTGTCCTGACAAAAATTATTTGGATGTTTCCAACAATTTGGGGGCTCATCTGGGATTATTATCGCCTCTCTGGGGGTTCTTCCACTGCCCCGGACAGGATAGGTGCACCCCGCTGATTTCAGCAGTCCTGTCTGAGTGGTGAGGTGACTCCTTGGAACGGCCGATAAGAAACTGAGACTGTTACATAAAGGACGGGCTCTGTGAAAGCCAAGGGGCAGGTAGGCAGGTGTACTGACCCCTGGAGACCTGGTAACTTTGTGCGCGGACCAAGGTAAGGGAATTTAATACTTGCCTTGGGGGTTGGCATGAGAACACATCCCCTGCGCTACCCCTCCCACCGTGGCTTGTAAGAACAACTCGGAGTAAGAGAAAGAGCTGGGGGCCAGAGCCTCCCACTGTAACTGTGCGGGGTGTATTACTTGTGAATGGGGATGGGACACTGAAAGTAAGAATAGCCGTCATCTGCAGAGATCTCAGGAAACTCGATATCCCAGTGACAAGCACTGGAAGCCTGGGGAGGGGGTGAAACAGAAATTATGAACGTCATATTTCAGTAACGATGAAAGTCTGGAAAGTAGAAAGGGTTTGGGAAAAACACCGGCTGAGGAAAGCAAAGTTGAGCAAGGTGTAACAGGAATATCCTTACCTAGAAGAAGAGGTAAGGGGGAGCCTGGAAGGGCTCAGGAAGACTTCCACCCCCACTGGACTGAAAGCAGCTGGGGAAGCAGGGTAAAGAGGCTTATTTTCTGATATGGGTGCCTCTTACTCTGTGCTATATCAAGAATTATTACTCACAGATATTTTTGTAATATTTGTAGGAGCTACTGGCAAGAGAAGTTTACTTTTTGGGAGACCAATTAAAGAAAGGCTAGGAGAACAAGTAGGAATATATAAATTCTTGTACATGCCAGGTTCTCCAAATCCATTACTTGGGCACGACATATTAGAACAGTTGAATGCAGAGATTAAATTCAGCAGAGAAAAATGGAGCTAAATGTCAAGCAAGAGCAACTGACTGAAAATTTTAAAGTCTGGCTATAACACAAACTTGAAAAAGCAATGTTGTACCCCCAGTAATTATGTAAATCCTAAATCAGGTATACACAGGATTGCAGGCATCAGGAATGCCTGGTAGAGCCAAAAATGCAGCCCAATAAAAGTTAAGTTAAAGACAGGAGCCAGCCCAACCAGGGTAAAGCAGTGCCTTTTGAGGATACAAGATTGTAGGAGGATAAAAGAAATAATAAATAACTTTTTGGAATTTGCATTATTAATTGGATAGAAACCCAAATACAACACCCCAATCTTGCAAATGAAAAATTGGATGGAAAGAGCTATAGTTTGGTACAAGATCTGAGGGCAATTAATAGAAATGTTGAATATATACAACCCATAATGTACATCTTTATTAACCAAGTTAAGGAATAACTAGGTGGAGTTTACCATTCTGGATTTGAAGTACATCTTTTTCTGCCTGGTTTTGCCAAAGAAAGTCTAAAATTATTTGCCTTTGAATAGGAAAACTCCAATATGGGGAGAAGGGAAAAAATAATAATTAAAAAAAATAAAATAAGAAAAATTCAGTTAACCTGGACAGTGATATCCAGAGTTGTGAGGACAGCCCAATGATTTTTGAGAACTGGTCAACTTGTGAGCCTGAGATTTGGGTTCCTCCATCTCACAGTGGAACTTTAGTACATGCATGCTACAGTACATGGAAGCTACAGTAACAAAGGAGGACTGTGTACAGTGGACTGTGAGTTTGCTGAATTTCTTGATTTAAATGGCTATCAAGTTTCTCAACAGAAAGCACAACTGATCAAAGAGAAGGAAGCAATTTGCTGAACACCCAGAACACCAACACAGAGCTACTTCCAAGCCAGCAGTGTGCAACTGCATGGAGACTGTCTATGCCAGTTGGTCAGACCTACAGGAGGAACTGTTGGGTGATGCTGAGGATTCATCAACAGAAGCAGTTTTGTGAAGGAAACTGTAAGGCAGGATATGCAGTAACTGCTACTGACAAGGTAATTGAAGCAAAACCATTACCAGTGGGGACACTTCCACTCAGAAGGCTGAAATAACTGCCTTGACAAGAACCTTAAATATATGGACAGATGCTAAATATGCTTTTGGGATGGTACCAACTCATGGTATCATCTGGAAAGAGCGATGGTTGTTTACACACAAGGAAAACAAATTCAGCATGATGTAAGTCTATCAAAGAGCAGCATGCCTGTTATACATTGTAAAGAACATCAGAAGAGTGACACTGTACAGGAAGTTGGGAATATGATGGTGGATCAGGCAAAACAGGCAGCTGAAGGAGAAGAAGTTGGTGAACCGGTTTTAATTCCAGACAGTAAACTTTAAATATCTGAACCTTAGTCAGAACCTGTAAGTATTCTAGAGAGGATAGGAATCTAATGATTTAGAAGGGAAGAGAGCAAGCTGACAGATGGGTGCATACCCAGATGGACACACTGTTGTGCCATTAGCATTTTATAGAATTTGGTTCTAAGGGAACATAATAAAACATATGGGAGGAACAACACCAGAAAGGAACTATACAATCCTAGTACCAGGAACAGGGTACAAGTGGGGCTTGTTGGGAAAGGGAACCTTCCAGGGCAACAATCACAAATTGTTTTTTTTTTTTTTTTTTTTTTTAAGAACTGCCAAGAAAAAGGAGGGTTCCGGTATATGCTAGTTCTAACCAATACCCTTTCAGGGTGACCAGAAGCATTTCCTTGCAGGACCAATAAAGCCAGAGAAATAACCAAGATATTGTTGCAGGAGATTATTCCAAGGTTTGGGTGTCCTGCAATAACACCCTTCAACCAGGGGACTCACTTTATTGCAGAGATTGTTCAACAGGTCAGCAAGCATTGGGAATAAACTGGCAATTGCACATATCACACAGACCACAGGCAAGTGGTCAGGTGGAAAAGATGAACCATCTAGTTAAATCACAGGTTGTAAAACCAGGCCAGGAAGCTGGACTATCCTGGCCACAGTTGTTGTGTTTGGCTCTCCTTAGTAGCAGAACGAAACCTAGAGTCAAAGAGGGGTGAAGTGCTTTCAAAATACTGTACAAAAGGCCTTATGTTGTACAAAAGAGGGGGTCTCTTCCCAGGTAGGGAACGAAATACTGAGCACTGAGGCATCTTGGAAAGAAGGGGGAGAAAACAGGGTATAAAGACTCATCTTGTGTCCATAGGCGCGCTCCTGCTTGCAGGACACCCACCACTGCAATCGTGAATGAAGTCTGCTTTTATCAGAGATACTGTCCTGACAAATTATTTGGATGTTTCCAGCAGTACCCAGCAGAACTGTCTTTAGGAGGTAACAGTTAAGTCTGTGACTCATTCTTCAACCACATTTCTGTTAGTATCAACTGCAGAAATGAGGGCAGCAGCACTTCTGATAATAATGCACCTCTTGTCCTCTAATTTATTCATGTACTGCTTATTTATAATCTTGATAGAATAAACCATAGCTGCCTTCTAGAATGGATACAAAGTTCTCTACAGAAGGATCCAACAATTTTTACATGTCCTATAAGCAGGTGTTCTCTAATATAAATTAACAATGAATCATTCCCACAAACCTTAAGCAAACACCCACACTACAGAAGTGCCTAACTTTAGATATTAAAAGGCTGTTTTGTTGTTTTTTTTTTCCAAGCCAATGTAGAATAGCTCAGGAAACCTGCCTAATCTCAGATCTGTACTATCTTAGGAAAGATGACTGCTGTATCTTCTGTATTCTCAATTTTATGAGCTTACAGCTCTGTAGAAATGTAAATTAACAGAACTAGAAGTTTGTTCCTGAGGAAGAAGTGCTCCATTTGATTTGATTGTTTTCCAGAGTGGAAAAGATGGACAATCAGTAGACATCAGCATCTCCACTCACCTCACTGATTAGAAATAAGTGGCAGAAATAGCCAGCAATTATGTATGTTTAATCCTTTTTTTTTTTTTTTTTTTTTTAAAACAGGCACTCATCCAGGTACTGCTAGTTTTCCCTTGGCAATAGAGAGTTTTTTTTTTTTTGAAAAGTACAGCTGCCGCACATTTCATTTTGGTGAGCATTCCCCATGGTTACAATGTTTTCTTCTTGTGAAAATGCAGCACTTCATGGGGATGGCATAAATATACTCTTAGCAGCCAGTCTCTGATACCAAGATTTTATAAGAGGTCACCTACTGCTTCCCAATTTAAGATCTCAGTTTCTGCAGTGCTACCTCAATGGGTCTGAGATAGATGCTGTGCAAGACATAAGCACAGACAAGCCTGAGAATTTCAAGGGATTACTTACTTTGAAATGACTTTTGTACATTTCTACCTTTAACAGCAATAAGAAGATGCTGTACTTCTAATTCTTTTCATAAAAAAAGACTGGTTCTTCCAATATTCACTTCAACTTCATTTTAACTTCAGAAGATTGTGCCACATAAGGATGTCAGATGAAGTCCAGGATAGCAGATCTGTTAGCTTGAATACTGGCTCTCTCTTTCTATGCTGGTTGGGACTATTATGATCTACACTTTTGACACATTCAAGTTCTGTCAGCAACACAACATAATTTTCTGATGTGCTTCAATAAGCACTTGAAGCAAATGATACTACTTTTCATGCTGACAATAAGATATCTCAAAAAGTAATGCTGAATTCCTAAATGCCTTATTTATATCCAAACTCTGAAGTCCTAGCCTTGTCCAAAGTCTGAGGCAGAAATCTGATTTCCCCTTGCTGAAGATCAGACTTTTGTGATGTTAAAGCAAGTTCTGATACAGCTTTGGAAACTGCTCACTGGCAAATGCAAGATTTCAAGATTTTTTTTGCAAGACTGCAAAACTCAGAAGCTTTTCTTCCTCTTTCCTGTTCTTTAGCTAACTGTATATTCTAGGGACAAACCTGTATATTCTAGGGACAATGGTGTCTCCAACAATGGTGAGCTTCAACTAATCACCTTTAGTTAATTACCTATGGTACTTGACAAATTCCCACATGCCAGCCGACCTATGGTACTCAGGTAAGCAAAGAGCATGCAAATAGTTAACAGATTAAAGATTCTAATTTCAAAAAGAAATTAACTCAAACTAATGCATTTTATTTGTAATTTGACATAATCTAAAACACAATGGGTCAAAGTGCTTAAACAGTAAGATGAACTTAAATAATTTAGTTATCCATCTGAGCTCATGAGGAAATGCATTTTCATGGAAGCATCTCCATTCCAGCAAGGTATCACACCTCTTGTATTGAAACAGCCTCATCCTGGTAAAAACAAAACTGGTATTAACCTACTATCTATTAACCTAACCTAATTGCTACTATCTAGCAAATTCCTGCTGCCAAGATAACAAACTCCAAGCTCAAGAATTAATGTTTGTCTCTCTGCTAGAAGGGCTGACAAGTTTAGTGTCAGATACAGCTATTGAGTCCACAAACCTTTTCTTGCTAAGAGGGTATGAAGTACTTGCTACTGCTTGAGGAAAACTGGAGGTTCCATATGGAAGTAAGTGTTAAGGGACAGGCTTGCTTCTTAAAAGGATCACTGTAATGTACTGAGATCTTCCTTACCCAGCGTAGTCTTAATTTGTTTGCTTAGTCCAAAAGAGATAGCAGAAATCCCTCTAAATATGATATACGTTCTCTATCACATAAAAGAAATACCATATTTCTTTGTTATTTCTCCTTTCTTTTTTTAAGCAATACTAAGTTGATTAACTCACTGAGAATTTTCTTGTTTGCTTGAGAAACAAGAAGAAAGTCTGATAGCCTCTCATTTATTAGATAATACCACACTCCATTAAAAGATTAATGGTATTAGAGATTTCTTCTAATTAACTAGATCACTAAGCATAATAAAAGAGCCTTTTGGTTCCAATTCTGTTAGATCATAGAATTAAGCCATTCTCACCTTCAAGCGCTTATCCTAAAACACAAATCCTAAAGGGCTCCAGACTGGTGCCCAGGGTTATTATCCATTCAGAGAATTTTTATGTTCTGAAATACTGAAGTACAGTTTTTTTCTCTGAGTTCCCATTTTAAACAGGTGAAACATTAAGAGTTTACCTTGATCTACTCCCTCTCCTCGTTTCCTTTTCAAATTCAAAAGTGTGTGTTGTTGCTCCTTTACAGCTTCTGCAGCACAGTTGGGTCTGGGTAGCAGATATCCTGGAGTGGGTCCTGGTCGATTACTGAAATACTTCTGTTTCAATGCCTTGATAGTAACAGCAGAAAAAAAAGTATAAGCATCAGAACTTCACATATAAAGAGTCTGTAATTAAATAAATAGCATTTAATTGCTATTTCAGAAACTACTGAAGCATCTTTGTACTGAAAGATAGCAAGATTTAACAATCTCAGTGACTACCACGGTACTTTGTTAGCTAAGAGATAACTGCAAGCTCACTTCTAACTAGCATTCAAACATTCTAACAAAACTCTAGATGACAATGCAGGATATCAGTGAGTTTCTAGCTCTGAAGAACTTACATTCTGAATAAAGAGAACATGAGTAAAGATGGAAGTTAGAAAAAGAGAGATTAAAATAATGTGACCAAAGTTCTGATCAGCTTTGGGACGTGAACACCATTGTTTTTGCTAGCTTTTAAGACAGGTCTTCCTATTAATTAACTGTGCTGCTTCTACAGTGTAAACTGCAAGACGACGTAGTTTGAATGAGAGAAGAAGACAAACACATGTAAGCAAGATTAACTTGATGTAGTAGAATTACCCTATTTTAAATTTTAGCGGTTCCACAGCTTCCATTTACTATGCTTTATGGCTTTACTTACATAGTCTGTTAGCTCTTCAGTACTTTTGCTTACGCCAGTTACAAAGTATTCAGTGCCATGTATAAATCAAGACAATATGGTATGCAAAAATTGCTGCCTGCCTTACACTGTGGTGATGTCATTAAAAACATAAGACTAGAAAAATCATATAAATTCAAGTCGCCATCTTACAATATGCCTGGAAAATGACTTCATACATATGAATTAATATAGAAATGTCTCAAGCATGCTGCAACTAATTACTTGGGAACTTACATTTTTAGAGATGGTGACTGAAAAAAAAGAAATCCTTCAATATGCTCTCAAAAAGTTCTTTAGTACAAAGGTATCTAACACGCACTGGGATTTGCCTTGTCCAACAAACCATGAGGGAGTCCCAGCCTTACAGTCGGAGTATGCATGCTACCCGGTAACTGTCAGGTGATAAATATTTGAATTAATTGCTGTGCCTAGCCAACAACAGTAATCCTATTTTCAACTAGAATGGAACATTTTGCAAGATTTTAATTCAAAGTCTTTTATTTCTACCCAATAAATAGTAGTGAAACTGAGATCAATTTTACTCAAGCAAGATGGAAACTGAAATTCAGACCAAGACAATGGCTTAAACTGACAGATGGCCATTTTAAAAGGAACCAAAAACATTGAAATGAAATCGGGATCCGGATGAATTAAGGATGAAAATATTTTAAAAGCAGGGAATAAAACATATTATGTTACGATTTACTTAAAAGCTTATGTAACTGAGTTTTGAATGGTGACTATGATTGTCTGGCTCATACACTTTTTAGTTGTCTACCTTGACTACATAGTTGGGAATGGTGATTATCACAAAGCGTTATTTCAAAGTTCTCTGTATAAAACATGGGAAACATGCTTACAGTATTTCACAGACAGAGCTATATAACATTCCATTTCAGACCTGGCTTCTTAGCTTCAGAATGCATTTATCTGATGTTTTGACCATGTTAATGAAGATTAGAACATAAACAAGTGTACTATACCTGAGAGGCTGTAACTCTAGAACAAGGATTAAATGTAAATAATCCTTGTAGAAGACAAAGTAAATCATCACCAGCTGCACTGAAGATATGCTGAAGAGACATTCCAGGAAAAGACTTAAATGTGACGTAATCTGGAAGATTTGTCATTCCCTGCAAAGACACAAAAATGGGATGTCTATTTCTCAAGATTGAAAGACTTCAGCTTTTCACAAAAATGAAACTTCATATAGCTGTATCCACAGCAGAAGCTAACTGTTCTTCAAGAAACCCTGTTAATATCTGGTCATTGAGCGTAGGAATAACAGGTCATAAAAATTACTCTAAAAAAAGAATTGACACAGCATCCATTACCAAGTAATCTTTCACCCTCTTGCTTCAGTAGTGAGTAGTACAACAGGAAACAAAATTAACAAAGGAAGCATGGGGGAACTTCACAGTGAGCGCAGACGAAGTAAAACTAGCAGATGGTAGAAAAGACAAGATATGCAGAGGAGCCAATGTGCATTTCCTCCTGGTAATATACTGCCCTCTTCAAAGTTCGTCGTTCATCATTAGCATTTTAGCTACTTTTTGAAATGCATGTTTTATTTATGGGCTACAGGGAAGGAAGGAAAAAACAGTTAAATAAAAGAGGAATAGCATTTTCCCCCCCCTTAGGTACAAAAAAAAAAAAAAAAAAAAAAAAAAAAGAAACCCCAACCAACCAACCCCTTGAATTCAAATTTCACCATAAAACTAAACCAGTTACAGATTATTACCTAGATGTTGGTAAGTATTTTAAACCTTTAAATCTGTTCAGTAAGAACAGATTTGTAAATCTGTTCAGTAAGTTTATTCAAGTTAAATAAAACACTAACACTGTAGTAAAAAACATGTGCAATCGGTTACAACTTTGACTGTAAAGGTTTCAATATTTGAAAATCATAGGTTTGGAAATAAATTTGGGAATGCATTATCTCTGCTGTGCTAATGCATTTCCTGTCCTCTCCTTTTCTCACCGCCTAAGAAAGAAAATATCACTACAAAAATCCCCCTCTACTTGGCTCTCGTGAGGCCCCATCTGGAGCACTGCATCCAAGCCTGGGGCCTCCAGTACAGGAAGGACGTGGAGCTCTTGGAGAAGGTCCAGAGGAGGATCACTAAGATGATCAGAGGGTTGGAGCTTATACTGAAAAAAAGCCCTGAGATGACTGCCAACACCTAGCTATCCAGATTGAGCACAGCTAGACAGGTTATCATTCATGTTTTAGACATAGCTTGTGTGGCAGATGAAGGCTTAGGGATACAGTGTCACTGAAAGCCAGTGCCAATCAAAAAAAAAAAGAGGGTCCACTGGGGGGACAGACACTGATTTCTGTATATTGTCACAGAGTTACTCTGAGAAACCATTTCGCCTCAGAACTGTTATTCTGTCTTTTAATGGATCCCAAATCAAAAACCTGGACAGCCCAATTTAAGGTTCTATAAATTGTTCCCAATATTGAAAGCAATTAAAGCCTTCTGGGTTAAAACATCAATATATCAAGAACATTAAGCAATCAATATTCATTTCGTATCAATAGTCATAGTAAACCAATGGTCCAGGAAAGGAAACTGAGACATCTCTTAACTGCTGTGTGATGATAAGAACACTGTTGTAATGATTAAAGATTTGCTGAGATAGAAATCTCAGCTGCTTTTTCTCTTCCTTTGTGAGAGGCAGCTGCATTTTGAGAACTTAATCAAATATTCTGATAAATTCTTTAAATTAATTTCCAAAGCAAAAGTAGAGATTACATCAAGTAAAATTAAAGTCAGAGTGTTAAACAGTAAGACTCACAGGCCACTGTTCTTCTGTTGGAGTGCCGAGTGTTTCAAAAATCCTTGTCAGCTGGTCAAGATCAGAGTCTCCTGGCAAGAAGGGAACCTGGAGAAAGGCAGCAGCTCTTTTAACTAAATTGTAGACTTAATTACTACTTAAGAAAGTAACTTAGAGTGGCTCCTCATAATTGCATTACATATTCAAAGTGAAACATCTTTGTATACCATGTGCCTACAACAAGGTACACTGAACATTTAAAGCTATCTAGTGACACCCATATAGATTTTGAACGTTTCTTGTAACCCAGGTTTAGTATCACTGACTTGACAGAACAGAACTAAACATAACATTAAAACCACTACAATATTAACGTAGAATTATTGAGCTTTTATTGAGCTAGGTTGTTTTACACCTGAGCTGTAAATTTACAGTCTGTTGATCACAATAATCTTTCCAGCACCAACAACCCCAAGATAGGTGACATTACATGACATGATATATAAACATTAATGTGGATTGCAACCGCATTACAAAAGCAAGAATTAAGAACAGTAGAATGAAAGAGCATCAAGAGAAATCCTACTGACTCATATCCATAAAGAATTAAACTGCCTAACAAACATCAGATGTCAACTGAGCTAGGCAGAAGACAAAAAAGGGCATGTCTGTCCAGTTTGAGTTGTCATTCATGTAACAGGCACACAGTGAAAGAAAAAAAAGGGACTTTGTGAAAAACAGTAAAGTTAGACGCACTATTTTAATCATAAGGACAGAAAGAGCATAATGAACACCCTTGTAAGGGAGAGCACTAAATTTTGGTGCCCTGGAAGCCCATTGAAGATCTTTGAAGAGCTTTTGTAAAGCTCCCAGAAATTTCACTGTCCCTCAATCCAGTACGTCCAGGAAGAAGAAGAGACAGATACATTTAAAACTATCATAGTGATAAAACCTTGCCATAAAAATTATCTGCTTTGTAAGAAAAAGAAATAATTTAGTAGAATTAGATCGTATCTTTGCTTTCTAACTTTTCAGGAATGTACACAACTTCAGAAGGTCTAATCCGCACACATCCAACCTGCAGCCCACACACAGCTTGGCCCAGCCTGTCCTGCAGCTGTTCCCTGTCCTGCACCATCACAGCAGTAGCTCTGCCCTCCCAAGCAGCCCAGTCCAGCCTCCAGCATGCAACCACTGCCCACAACAACCAAACAGTAGTGTGCAACTGGCACTGCCTTGGATGAAATCAGGGCATGATGTAGATGCAGTGCAGTTAAGGCTCAAGTTAACTCAAGTTAAGGTAAACAATTGTATGTATTGAGATACATTGCTTAAACACAGTCCTGTGAAGAGCAAAAAAATAAAAAAAGGCAGCTGTGCTTTCCATTTTGATTAAGCAATTTGAGAATAGGTTTCAAGGCTGCAGGAAAAATCACCAATTCTTTGGTATTTGAATTAAAGTGTGATCACGTCTCTCTGATGGACCTCTATAAGCCCTATTTTACCAAAGAGGATTATCTTCACAAATCTTCACAATCACACCTCATTAACATGTCATTACTTTTTGGCAGTACACATTTGTGAACAACTGTTTTCAAGGATGAGGCACGGAAAGAGTAAAATTTCATAAAAGTTTCTGATGAACACCTTGGCAACTCACTAAGAACTGCAACTGTTCCTATCAAACTAGGCTAATGCACAAAAGCAAAGTTAAATGTTTCACAAAGTCTATGTTATTGCTGCTCTTTTTAGATCTTAATAAGAAACACTACAGAATAAAATAAGTTTTGTTACTTATGTGCATTAACAATATATTTTACAGGGGTTGCTCCAAAAATAATGCCGCCTATTTTGTTATGTTGGCCCACGCTGTCAGAGTTGGTGGTATGATAGTAGAGGTAGAACCTTCCCACCAGTATCCCATCCCATGTTGTTGCCATGTGACAGATGGCAGCAGAGGGGCACTCTGACAGAATGGCATCTGACATGGAAGTGCAGATGAAGCAAGAGGTGTCTTACTGAACTATTCCACATGGAAAAAAATGGCATGCACTGACATCCATCAACACTTGCTGAACATTTATGGAGACCAAACAGCAGATAGGAGCACAGTGAGGAGGTGGATGGTGCACATCAGCAATGATGTCATCACAGCAACTGTGGAACAGTGATCACCTCCACAAGTACAGATTTTTATAAGCATGGCATGCAGACTTCTGTTCAACACTGGGAAAAAAAACACAGCTAATAGTGGTGACTACATTGAAAAACACTGTTTTGTAGCTGAGAATTTGCTCTATCAAATAATTATTGTGCTATTTGTATTTGTTGTTGTTTCCATGGAAATAAATAGGAGTCATCATTTCTGTAGCATTTCACCATATGCACAGTCCAAGATTATTCCTGTTCACTCAACATGGCCCAAGCAAGCCAGAAGGTTGGACACCTGTGGCCTCATCTATGTTTATGCATGCACTACTGATGCTTCTTAAGCAACCACTCTATATTTCCATTCTGAACTTGTATTGTCACACCTATATGTATGATAAATCAGACAAGGCAAATGATATATTCCCAAGTGTTTTCAGACAAACTAGTTCCCTAATCTGATTCACAATACAGCATACACTTAAAGTAAAGTGCATAAATCAGGCAGAACCTGCTTATTTTGGAAAGTTATACTGCAGGCTACTTCATGCTTTCAGCTATGCTTGTACACCCTGCCCTCCACTTCCTACCTCCTACTTCAATGTTTTCAGAAGAGCTACTTCTTGCTTGCTTCCACAAAGCATATTTATGGATGATTACACCTGTATATCTTATTGAGGAGTGACATAATGTAGTCTTGACTATCTTCAGCTTCACTCCAGTCTATTAGCTAGCCACAGTTACAACAACAGTACATTTTCAGCTTACTACAAATAAATCCACAGTTGGTGTATTGGCGGTAATTATTCCCAATTACTGGGAAACAACTGATAAAGAATAGAGTGTACATGCACATAGGCTGCCAAATTTTCTGAAAATAACAGATGATAACTGAGGAATGGCTGTGTGAAAGGAAAACACTGAGAGGACTGGAAGAGCAAACTACTTTTCTGCCTCAGGGAAGGTGAGTACTGTTGTACTTTTTTGCCTAGCTATTTTTTTTAAGGTTTCCAATCTTTGCAATGGTTTTAGAACCTCAGCTTATTAGAAAATTTCCCTTTCCTTATAGGTAGCAAACTTTTGGAAGGTATTCCTTCCCTGCCCCCTTTCATTACCTCCTAGGAAGTAGCCTAACTTTTTACTGATGATACTACTGCAGGACAGAAGCCCACATCTAAAATGCACTGAAGAACAAATACAAATGCTTACATTTGAAGACTTACCCTGAGAAGCAACTCGGCTAGAATGCAACCAACAGCCCACATATCAACACCAACACCATACATTCTAGCACCAAACAGTAGTTCTGGGGATCGGTACCATCTGAACAGAAAAAACATTTTAGGAAAACCTGGTTTTACTCTATGTATGCTGCAGCAGTGCGATGACTACAAAAAGAATTCTACACTTGCATGTATATTTTTCAAACACTAAAGAACCACAAAGTGTTTTTTTTATTTTTATTTTTATTTATTTTTTTTTTTTTTTGAAGTTTGAAAAACATTGCATTGCACATCATGGGGCTATGTGTAACCGCAGTTTTACTACAGTTCCAGCTGAGCTAACTGGCAAACAACAGAACTGCAGATATGCAAAGGAAAAAGTATATAACAGGGAGGCTTGCATGTTACAGACCATTGTTTTCTTTAAATTTATCTTCAATAAATGGTACTTTAAGACAGAACTCCTTTCAGCTTTCAAAAACATGACTAGCAACAGACTTAGAGATTTGGTGCAAAATACATCTTGGCAGCAATTATTTGAAGCTGTGGGAAAGATTTGATATACACTGCATTTCAAACAACTGTATCACTAATGCCTTTTGATTGAATGAAGATATTAAGCAGTTTTGCTTACAGTTTTAGCATTACTGTAAATCAAAGGAAACCTATTTTGCAGTAATCTGCTTTTTTTTTTTTAAAAAAAAGTACATGTCTTAAGTAAGCACATTAAAAATGATACTAATAACTTAACTGGGTTGTGCTTTCATATCACAATAGTTTACGTGCCTCATTTCAAAAGACTGGTAGGTTAATGATCAGCAGCAAGTAACAATTCTCTCTAAAAGCTTGATTTATAGGTAAATACATGTTATTTTCATGTGCTTCATAACTATCATACCATAGAACAACATTCAGGGACACAAATTCTAATCATTCTTAAAAAGATTATGCTAAAAAGCATTTTATTATGCTTTCTTTATGCAAAATGATGAGACTTTTTGCCGCTATAGTCATAGCGTTTGAGCTAGAAATCAAACTTGAGATGTGTTGCTTTAACTTGATGTATTCCACAAGGTAATATATAACATTTACCATCAATCTAAGAAATGTCTTACCTTGTTACTACTTGGTGTGTGTAAACTCTGTTTGGGCTTCCAAAAGATTTTGCCAAGCCAAAGTCAGCCAATTTCAAAACACCACTTTCATCTAACAGCAAATTATTTGGTTTAAGATCCTGTCAGTACAGAAAGCAAAGAAGGAATCCTGTCATTGTTAATAAAAACAGACATACCGAGAACATCCCAGCAAGAGTATAGTAACAGAATTCTAAAACCCAGTCTTCTAAGTACATTTTGAGTTTTTACATTGTGATGAAGAAAACAAATGACATCACTTTCACATAAATGAAAATAAAAAATAATCAAACATCTCAATTTGAATTTTATGCTATTTAATTTCCAGAGCTCAAAACCACAGATTTGTGGTAGGTTTTTGCTTTGCTGCAAGAACATTAGTTCTGTCTTACTGCACTGCTGAAAAAAGAATAACATAATCGCTAATTTTTCTGACAGCTGGAGAGATTATGGGACTGGTATAGTTTAATACAGTAACAGTGTTGTGGGCTGCCAGCAGCCAGGAGGCACGTAGCCATTTACTTGCACTGCCATTTCCTCACACCCAAGTGAGACAGGAAGAGCAAGAAAATTCATGGACTGATATAAAACTGATATAAAGGGCATTTAAAAGGTGAAAGAAGGAAAAAAGCCCCCAAAACAAAACAAAAAAAAAACTAAACAAACCCCCCAAAAACAAGGGACTCAATGGAATTCACTTATCACCTCCCACAAGCAGGGACTGATGCCCAAATAGCCTCTGAGCAACAGCCAACTTGGAAGACAAAATATTTCCTTATACCCCACTTTTTTATTTATTTATTTTTTTACACTGCTGTACCACAGCTGCCCCAGGTGCTGCGTCCCTTCCCAATCCCTGGCCTCCTCCAAGCAGATTTGCTGGGTTAGAGGCAGAGCGGAGAAAGGCTTGAAGATGTGCAAGCAGTGTGGAAAAAAGCCCACTGTTCTAACTGTAAATTTGAAATAGAGCATTATGCCAACTCCTATGAAGAAAGTTAACTTCATCTAAGCCAGACTAGACCACAATCCTAACCAAAGTCATGAATCATCTGAGACACTTTGTCAAGGGCTGCTCAGAAAGTAACACCTCCTGTTTTGTATGTTGGCCCACAGTGTCAGAGGCAAATGGTGATATGGCAGTAGAGGTTGAACCTACTCACCAATATCCCATTACGTTCTATTGCCATGTGACAGATGGCAGCAGAGGCAGTCTAACAAAACAGCATCTGACATGGAAGTGCAGATGGAGCAAAGCTGCAGAACTGAGTTCTTCCATGTGTAAAAAATGGCACACTGACACTCTCGCTGATATGTTTATGGAGACCAAACAGTGGATGAACAAAGAGAAGAGGTGGGTGGTGCATTTCCGCAGTAGAGACAGTGGGTGATGTCTGCTGAGCTGACTGCTCAACAGCTAGTGCAACCCTATGCATCGCAAACCAATTTAAGTTATTTTTCAAACTCAAATTCAATCAAAATTGACATTTTTTATGGGAATAAAGGCATTTAGAGCATGCTTACCCTGTGTAGAATCCACTGTTGATGTAAATACTCTAATCCTTGAAGTGTCATCAGCATATACGCTTTGATATGAGCTTGTGTTAACACAATACTAGTATCCTTTATAATAACCTGCAAGTGTTAGATTGATAGTGGTAGATTAATAAGCACAAAAGCTTATAATGCAAAATTATTTAACTCCAGTTCTTTCAAAAGTTAGCTTATACTTTAGGATAAAGTTGAAATTAGTAGCTATACATACTCTGTATATGTATATATACATACTCAGCTGTACTGTTCCTGCCCTTTCTCCAAAAAAAAAAAAAAAAAAAGGAACCCCCCTCCCCCAAACAACAAAACAAATAAACAAAAAACCCCACAGGTCCATACTGATCTAGAGATCAGAACTGGAGTAGGGAATCCAGATGTTCTATTGTAAACTTGGCATAAGCAGCACATTTAGAAAATTGGCAGGAAACATGATTTTATTTTATCTTCATTCCAAACATATCCATTCTTACAAGTCAAAGAAGCTGTACACAAAAATAACAGATGTGTTAATAAACTACAAGAAATTATATTCCTACATGTTCATTTGTCCTCAGTGCAACTTAAACATCTAATCTTTGTTAACAATCGGTTTCCTTTTTTCCCCACAAAGACAGAGAATTATAGCCATGACACAATATTTTAACAAACCTATGTGTTCAACACTGCTTAATTTTTAACATCAAAATTCTAAGTGAACATCCTCCTTAAAAATATTTTCTAAGTTACTCCCTCAAAATTGTTTAATATTACTGTTCAGTTCATTAGTACCATTTCCCAAGATTTAAGTTGTTTGAGATTTACAAAGCAACAGCCTAAAATTAAAGAATTTCTAATATGCAGCATGTGCCTAATCACAACAGGCTTTAGTCCCTAACAAAGGCATTTGAATGATACCACAATGTGAATAACTGCTCTGCATTATGTTACTAAGTATTTAATTTCTCCTTGTACAGTGTACCTTCTTGATTTCTAAACACCGCATAGTTACTAAGTAAATAGTGAATGAACCCTCTAGAAAGTGTACTCATTAAGTCTATGAGCAAAAAAAAGAAAAGCAAAACATTAGTCTTGTACTCCTCTGGGTTTCAGAAAACTTGTCAATGTTTTCCTTTAATATTTTAAATGTGAGCTCCAGTATCCCATGCCATATGTAAAATGGGTTAATTTCTTCCAGAGTATGGATAATGTGGGCACATACAGATCTGACATGAGAGTCATCCAAAATGTCTTCTCAGCAGTGCTCCAAAATGAAGCATCTCCACTAAAGTATTTGATAAAGATTTTGGCAAAAGACAAACTAATGAAACATCTGTAAGAGTCAGGCCTGCAAGCAAACACCACTGTCAAATTTAAAAGAAGGGTCCAGGAGTATGTGACTTCTAATCAGACAATTACTTAGCATACTTTAATAATATCACACTTGTGCATGTTTTACATTACAGTGCTTAGCAATTGCATTCTGAGATCCTGGCTTATGATCAGTGATTCTATGTTCTTCCTGAAGTCCTAGAAAACTACTATAGTAAACGATCTGTTTCCTGATAACAGTGCTGACAGAAAGTACTTAAAAGTAAAGGCATTTTCAGTTGAAATTACACAAACTGTCACACTATTCCAACTCTTTTAGAGGTATAATCTTAATCAAGTTACATAATGAAAGACACCTTTATAAAAAAGAAAATTAAAAAAACAGTAGAAGTAAGGCTATGAAAATGTTTTTCAAAATGCATTTGAAGATAATGAAATAAGAGATATCTTAATCCATCTTACCTCAAGGTCTGTTTCCATGAAATCAAACACCAAGCTAATATTAGATTTGTGTCCAAATGCATCTAAAAGCTGTAAAACAACATATGTTATGATGAACTATACTCCCTCTGTTCCAGTTTTCTAAAATTCCACTCTACTTTGCACGTGCACTTTCAGTTTACTGGCGGGGACAGACAGGCACAGGGCTACCTATGGCCTAGACCTGACCATCAAGAGGAAAGTATGGGACTGATCTCACAGTTCTGTCCTGAATCTAATTTTCTTTAATGTAACCCCTACGAAATAGTGTTGTAGCAGTTCTCCAACCTGCAACACAAAACTTATTACTCAGTTTAGTTCTTAACTCAGTAGCCAAGAAGTCCATATTATCCGGTAACATTTTACACAACTACCTCTCCATTCTAGAGAGAAAAATCTTGAGTTCATAGAATCACAGAATTGTTTGAGGTGGTAAGGATCCTTAATGATCACCTAGACCCTCTCCCCTACAAGGAAAAGAGACAGAAACCTGATCTGGCTGTGTGTAAGAGCCCATTCAGCCTGATTTTGAATGTCTCCAGGGATGGAGCATCCATCACATCTCTGGGCTTGCAATCTCTGCCAGTCAGTGCCTTGCCACCCTCACCATACAAATTGTTTTCCTTATGTCCAATCTAAATCTCCCCTTTTATTTTGAAACAACTTCCTGTAGTCCAACCACAAGAGACCCTGCTAAAGAGTCTGCCTCCTTCATTCTTACAGCTCTCCGCTAGATACTGAAAGACCGCTATCAGGTGTTCCCAGAACCTTCTCCAGGATGAACAGCCCCAGCACTCTAAGCCTGTCCTCATAGCAGAAATGTTCAATCTCTTAGATATTTTTTTGGCTCTCCTCTGGACAAACTCCAACAGGTCCACATCTCTCCTGTACTGAGGATATCTGGATGCAATACTCAAGGCAAGCAGAGCACAGAGTAGAGCATCAGGATCAGCTCCCCTGCCTTACTGGCCATACTTCTTTTGATGCAGCCCAGGATACAGCTGGCTTTCTGGGCTGTGAGGGCACATTTCTGGTTCACATCCAGCTTACCATCCACCAATACCCCCAAGTTTGAGCTAACTTTGATGGATATTCCAAAGCACACCTTGCATCCTTACCCTCTACCCAAGCTTAACTGTTATATAGAACTTCTGCCCTTTTGGATTCATGAATGATTGCAAATTTGCCAAATTCCTTCTCATACTGATGATATCATCTGCTTCTGCAATGCCTGTGGAAATAAACTTGAGAGTTTCACTATGTTCTGTGTGAAATACATAGATTTTCTTCTACTGCATAATTTACACATATCACCATTTTGTATGGTTTTGTGATTACTTCTCCCTCCCTCGCCCCCCCCCAGTATCAGTTCCACTTTACCTACCAACCAAGTTTAGTAGACTTCTCTGTGTACTGTAATCACTTTGAAAGTTCAGTTCACAGTCCAGAAGAACACTGTACCTCCATTCCAAAGTGCTAAATAAGAACTCCAGAAAATTCCTATCTGGTCTAGTAGTTATGGCAAAGTTTTGAATGACCTACATTTGCTAATTTTAAAGTGTTTTCAGCTCCTGCTAAGTATCTGTAGACAGAAGTCAATTTAAGTAAGACTGAAACAATACAGAAATCACACTAGCCAACAATGGATTTAAGTGGCAGTAATAAAACCTAATAAACTATGTGAATCCCACTTTGTTGTTATTTATAAAGCCTGCTTTTGGCTGCCACCAATTTCCTCTGCAACTAGCCAGTTCAGGTAAATTTAACACTGCATTCGCTTGCATTTGTATTATTGAAATATTAAAAAAAAATAAAATAAAATCAGATAATCTAAATTTCTAGAAGCCTTCCCACCTTTAATTTCCATGACCATGAGCTAACTAATAAAAGGATTTTTAAATAAAGAGACTTAGCATTTATTAAGAAAACAGATATTTTGCTGTAACAACTGTTTCACTGTTCACCTCGGGCAAAGAACATCTACAATAAAGTAGCTTTCTGAATACTAGTTTTAAATTTCAGTTTGAAACTGTATCAACAGTATTTGGGAACTGATATTAGAAGTAGCATTCATTTTACTTACACCAATAACATTCAGATGGCTTAGCTCCTGTAACAACTTTATCTCCCTGAGAGCTGTTCTGTTAATTCCTATATTGAAAAAAGTAATGAAATAGAATAAAATTAAAAATTTCAAATTAAGTTCCAGCAAAGAAACCTCTTATTCTGTTGTTCATTGATTATTTAACATTACAATCCTTTTCCTCACCGCTCATCTATTTGTTAAAGCCAAGCAGACTGCCACAGATATGTAGATGGCTGCAGACAAAATATAGGTAATAATTAGAAGATACAGATTATAAAGTAACGTATACATCTCTTTGACTAAAAAAGTCTGTTCTACAACAAGCGTAGAAAAACAGTTTCCAGATTATAACAAGCTTTGATTTTGTTTTAAAGTAAAGTTACATCCTGGAAATTTCAGTTCTACACTGCATCATTTCCAGAGGGAGGCACAGTGAACATGATTTTTGAAAAAAAAAAAAAAAAAAAAAAAAAAAAAAAAGGCTATTTCAGATAGAAGAGGTAAGAAAATTTATTTCCTATAGTTGTATTACAACACAAGAAGTAGTGGCCAAAGCCTGTTCACCCTAACACAAATTCTGTAACAGAGATTTCATAAAGAAAAGCCTGGGGCAGGAACTTTGATGATCATCCATATTACATCCCATCAAACCCTGCACACTGGTAACAACTCCTCTCTCAAAAACACGGTATGCATGCTCATATGCATGGCTCAGACAGCTTACTGACAAGCAAACACTACTGCACTGCATTGTGCAAGAAGTTGCAACTATGTGTGCTGAAAAACAGTGTTATCCCCACCATGTTTTCATTCAACATATAAGATTCTAGCAAAGATTCGGGTGCAGTGATGGATTACTACACTCTCATTTCACCTATTTTAATTCCTTCTTTAGAAACAAACAGAGTGTCTGCTTTCATGTTGGCATATTTTTTATATTCAGAAAAAAGTATCCCAAGTATGCAACCGGATGAGCACAAGGAAACCAGACACGATTGCTCTTTTTTTAAAGTGTGGCTGCAGGCCATAAATGATGACTGCCCTTAAAGGACATTAGTCTAGTGAAGACCAGATGAATCACAGCTCTGTGGCAGCTGACACAACTGGAAGACTCCAGAATGTCTAGTTCTTCCTTAGAATGGAACTGAAGAATTTTCACAAGAATTTGGTAACCTGGTGCAGGATCCCTGAAGGATGGCAGCTACGCACAGACTGCATTCTATTGCACTAGTTAAGCAAAAAGCAAAGACCAAGATTATTGGGTTGTAATTGCAACATCAATGCCTGAATGCATGTGGCTGGTCAGAGCACCTGATCAAAAGAAACTATTGCACAAGTATAATTTCTCAAAACAAAACAAGCAAGTTTACACAAAGAAAAAAAAAAAAAAAGGTATCTTGTTTTTACTTACAGTTTTCACGTAATATCTTCTGGGAAAAAAAAGATAAGCACTCTCACCTCCCTTGCACAATTAAGACACAGAGGCACACCTAAGTGTCAGAAATATTATTATTCTATGCTATACTCATGTTTGGGTTGCATCTAAACTGAGAAAGTTGACAGTCATCTATGCACAGTTAGACATATAGTATGAGAATACTGTATTTTGATGTTATTTTTTCTGTCCCCCTAAGTTGGGAAGGAATCAATCACCCAATTTGCAGAAACAAAACCAACAAAAGCAGCTTATATAGCATGAACTCATTTTAATACTTACCATCTTTAGCTTCTGATCGGTGTCCCAGTTTAATCTGAAAAATAAATGTTTCATATTATATAAGGTTAAGCCACAGGCCCCAGCAGTACAGGTACATTCTTTGGTGTTATTTTTCCAATACAGGTTGAGTTTTAAGACCACATTTTCAACTACAGGAAGTGTAAAATTTAACAAAATATCTCTGATGAACACCTTGAACCCTCACTAAGAGCTGTAGCCACTGCCATCCAATCAGACTCATGCATTAGTTGCACAAAAACCAGGTGAAATGTCTCTCTAGTTTTATTTTGCTATTGCTCTTTTAGTGCTTTAATAATAATAATAATAAAGTCCATTACTTCTATATATTAACAATATTGGATATTTTACAAGGGCTGCTCTGAAAGTAATGCCTCCTATTTTATTACTTTGGCCTATTATATCAGAGGTGGATGCTAGCATGGCTGCAGAGACTGACCCTTCCCATTCCATGTTGTTGCCATGCAACAGATGGCAGCAGAGGGGTCCTCTGACAAAATGACATCTGACACGGAAGCGTGGATGAAGCAAAGATGTGTTGCTGAACTCCTCCATGCAGAAAAATGGCACCTACTGAGGTTCATCAACACTTGCTGAACATTTATGGAGACCAAACAGCAGGTGTGAGCACAGTGAGGCAGGCAGTGACGCATTTCAGCACAGGCGGCAGCAAGAGCAGGTCAGCTCCACTGGTACAGATTTGTGTCAGTGCAGCACGCAGGCTTTTGCTCACTGCTAGTAAAAATGCCTAACTAATGGTGGTGTCTCCGCTGAAAAATAATGTTTGGTAGCTTAGAACGTGTTCTACCACATAGTGTCACTGTGCTCTTTGTATCTGCTGTAGTTTCCAGAGAAGTAAAATGGAGCCGTTGCTTTCAGTCCGGCCCATGTAAACGTGGCCCAGGACAGTTCCACCTCGCTCCACGTGGCACAGACAGGCGAGAAGGCCGGGCAGCCACGGACTACGCGATCTCCGTTTTCTTTTCCAACACAACGACTCTAGGAACGCTCACGCACTGCCCACGACAGCCGTCCAGAGAAGCACCGCTGCAGGGCAAGGCGCTCAGTGACGCAGCAGGGGATGCTCCGGCACTCACCTTTTTGATAGCGACGATCTGCCCCGTGACCTTGTCCTTCGCCTTATACACAGTGGCAAACTACGGGGAGAGAGAGACACGCGTGACCACAGCGGCAGGGCGGCCCGCAGCCCCGAACACTGAGGCGGGCGGCCGCGCAGCCCGGCCGCCCCTCGGAGGGACCCAGCAGCCGCTCACCTGCCCTTCCCCCAAGAAGTCCAGTTTCTCGTAGCGCTTTGCACGAGCCCGCGCATCCATGGCCGCCGAGCGGAGAAGGCGAGAAGAACCCGAGGCCGGGGAGACGAGACACGAAGCAGAAGAGGAAGGACGCCGCTTTATCAGCAACCGCGCCCCGCGCCACCTCAGGCCCGCCGCCCCGCTCCGCGGGCTGCCGTGACGTCACCGCGCGTCCGCCCTGGCCGCCTCGCGCCGCTGTGGCGTCAGCTCGGGGACGGGCGCTGCGCCGCCCTGACGGCTGTGTGCGATTATCCGCGCTGCGGGGGCGGCGGGCTGTGAGGGGCGGCGGGCTGTGAGGGGCGGCGGGCTGTGAGGGGCGGCTGCCGGTGTAACCGCCGCAGGTCGGAGCGCGGTCAGTCGCGGAGAACGCTTCGCGGTGGGGCAGGCGGCACGACTGGAATGCTGCAGTCGAGGGCTGCGTGGCTTGTAGGAGAGAGAGACAAGGAAGGAGGGGCGGGGGAGTTGCGCTCCGCCTTAAGAAGCGGACGGGGATTGTGGGCGTAGATTGCGGAGAGCTGCCTGCGAGACACAGCCGGGGTCGGGTGGAGAGCTTGTGGGCAGCAGCAGGAACTGGTCCGTTGGAGGACGTCTGCTGGGTGAGGTCTACCACTGGCTGCCTGATCAAGGGGAGCCTGTGCGCGAGGCCTTCTTGCTACGGAAGGCTCTCATCCTAACGGTATTTCAACCACCCAGACGTCTGCTGGGGAAACAACACGATGGGCTGCAGGCATTGCAGGAGACTCCTGAAGTGCATGAAGGACAGCTTCCTGACCCACGCATTGGACAGAACAACCAGCAGTAAAGAGTCAATGGACCTGGTGCTCATCGATGCAGACGAGCTCATTAAAGAGGTTAGGGTAGCAGGCACTCGGGCTGTAGTGACCATGGCCTGCCTGAGTCTGTGATCATGAGGAACAAGGGCCTGACAATGGGTAGAGTCGGGATCCTGAACTTCAGGAAGGTGAACTTCTGCTCAAGAAGCTGTTGGATGAGATCTCCTGTGAAACTGTTATTAGGAGCATAGGAAGGGAACAGAGCTGGCAGCTCTTTAAAGACAACTTTCTGAGAGCGTAACAGCTCTCCATCCCCCAGCATAAGAAGTCAGGCAAAGGAGGTAGGAAATGGACATGGCTGAACAAGGACCTGCTGTTCAAACTGAGGGATAAGGACATGTACGGGAAGCAGAAGCAGAAATGGGTGGTCTGGGAAGAGTACAGGGATGCTGTGCAGATGTCCAGAGGTGGGATTAAGATAGATGGAAATAAAATTGGTGAGGCATTTGAAAAATAACAAGAAGGGGTTCTGCAGGTCCATTGGTCAGAAAAGACAGGGCAAGGAGAGTTGTTCCCCCTCTGATAAATGAGAAGGGAGAACTGGCTACAATAGACATGGAGAAGGCCAAGGTTCTTAATGAGATCTTTTCCTCAGTCTTCACTGGCAGTCAGGTTTTCCCTTGTCTCTAGCATCTCTGAACCTCTTTGTGGGGACTGGGGGAGCAAAATACCCTCCACTGTAAGAGAAAAGCAGATCCAAGACCACCTCATGGGACTGTATGTGTACAAGTCTATGGAACACACATCCCAGAGTCCTAAAGGAACTGGCTGATGTGATTTCTAAGTTACTCTCCAGCATACTTGAAAAGTTATGACTGGCAGGCAAAGTCCCTGGTGACTGGAGAAATGACTCCCATTTTTAAGAAAGTGAGAGAGGAAATGAAGACCCAAGGAACTACAGGCCATTAGGCTTCATCTCTGTGCCTGGAAAGATCATGGAACAGGTCTTTCAACACATGTGAGATGAGATTATCTGGGAAAGCCAGTTCAGCCTCATCAAGGGTAGATTGTGCCTTATCCATCTAGTGGTCTTCTACAATGGAGTGATGGCATCAGTGGACAACAGAGCAACCGATGTCATCTGCCTGAGCTTGTGCAAGGCCTTTGACAGGGTCCTACACCACATCCTTATCTTTAAATTGAGGTGGTTTTGTAGAGTGAAGTATTCAGTGGATAAGAATTGGTTAGTTGGATAATTGCAGGCAGGGAGTTATTGTCAATGGCTCTACGTCCAAGAGGAGGCCAGTGATGAGTGGTGTCCCCTTCGACTCTATCTTGAAACTGGTGCTCTTTACAAATTTATCAATGACATAATTAATTGACAGTGAGAATGAGATCATCCTCTGCAAATCTGTAGACAATACCATGCTGAGTGGTGCTGTTCATATGACAGAAGGGATGCCATCCAACAGGACCTGGACAGGCTTAAGAAGTAGGCACAGGTGAATCTAATGAGGTTCAACAAAGCACTGCACTGATATGTATACAGACAGGGAGAAAAACTCGCTGAGAGTTCACAGAGAGCAGCCCTGGAGAAAGACTTCAGGGTTCTGGTAGATGAAAAGCTGGACACAAACCAGCAATGTGTTCTCGCTGCTTGGAAGGCCAAATGTATCCTGGTCTGGATCAAAAGCTGGGCGGCCAGCAGAGTGTGGGAGGTGATTGATTGTTTCCCTCTGCTCTGCCCTTCTGAGGCCCCATCTGGAGTACTGTATTCATGCCTGGGGCCCCCAGCACAAAAAGATGCAGCAGAGCTGTAGTGCATAATGAGGAGGATCACAGGACCTCTCCTATGAAGAAAGGCTGAGAGAGCTGGGCTTGTTCAGCCTGGAAATGGCTCCAGGGAAACTCCACTGTGACTGTCCAATATTTAAAGGGAGCTTATTATAAACAGGATAGAGTAGGACTTTTTATACAGTCTGATGATGACAAGGGGAAATGGTTCTAAACTAAAAGAGGGAATAGTCAGATTAGATAGTGGGGTAAATTCTTTCCCGGGGGGGAGCAAGGCACTGGAAGCATTTCTCCAGAGAAGGTGTAAATGCCCCTATTCGTGGACTTATTCAAGGCCATACCAGATGGGGCCCTGGGCAGCCTAATCTAATGGGTGACAACTGTGCCCTCAGCATGGAAATAGATGGTCTTTAAGGTTCCAGCCAAATCAAGCCATTCTATGAGTCTATGAGTGTGCGTATCCTGCCTGTGAAACCAGCCTTGAGGAGACCTGTTAACAAGGAAAATAAAGCAACTCAGTTTGTTCTATTGCCAAATTCACAGAATGGCTAATTAGAAAAATATTCTAATGATGTAGCCATCAATTCCTATTTGTCATCAACAGAAAATTAATAGTGTTATGTCAACCCTTACATCTTTGTTTAGGGTTTTTATTAAAACTATCAGCATACTATTATTTATAATATTAAGGAAAAGCTAATATGATGAATACAATACTTCTTTCTTCAACAGTGGTGAGCAAATTATCTTCTGTGCTTATTCTGGACCTCCACGCTGTAAAGCAAAAAATAGACAGGGTTAACTACTTTCCACTAAAAGAAAGGGAAACTGAGATCCAATCTTCTTTTGCAGTTACAGATTAACAAACAAGTCCTAGATTTAACTTATTTACACTTTGATTTTTAATCTATAATGGATACATTACATGTCAGAAAAATCATTATAATTAACAGATCGTTTTCCATATGGAATAATATAAACAATATAAAAACTTTTATATTTGCAACCTATATTTGCAACTGTTCCCTATTCTCTCAGTTGGAAGAAATATGACTTTACTCACTTTAGAAAGGTTAGACAAACAGCAGTAGTAGTAGTTTCAGAATTTTTTTTACTGCCCAAATTCCAAAGGGCAAAGTAAAAGCAAAGCCCAGGTAAGCTGCTATAATCTTTATGAGAAAACAGAAATCCGCTATTTTACCAAAGTTGTTATTTTACAGCTTGCCTCATGGTTTAAAGAAAGAAAGAAAAAAGAAAAAAAAAAAAAAGGAAGTAAAGAAGTATGTAACTACAGGAAAGAGATCATTTTATTTCAAAATTAAATACTCAAAAACCACTTTCATGCTGAAAAATAGGTTTCCTCTACTAACATTGTTACCCTTTAAGTGTCCTTATCATTTAACAAAGCTACTGTCTAACTCTTCAAATTCTGCGCATTCTCTCTTTTTAAGTAAAAATCTTTACATTTGAAAACTCTTGCAGAAGAAAAGCAGTTCTTTCTTGACTTTCCCATATAATGCTGCAACTGCAAATATTTCAGGAAATATTTCCATCAAGCTTAACTAAAATGTTCCTAATTATTAGAAGTGCAAAAATTAACTTCCTATTACATAATATTTTCCAAACTAGTTTTTATGAATTTTGTACTTCAGTCACCTGGCAAAGGCTGGTCCTCGAACAGAATTCTGTTCTCCCATCCAACTTATTCACATTATACAATAAACAACTGTTATAAAACAAGAAGTGACTATGCTTAATGTAGGCTCTACCTATTACTACCTGTCTGCCTCTGCTTTAAATCTGGATCTCGCAGTGACACCACAAGCTACTAATTAGTAAGAGCTGGGAACACCTGCACCAAGAGTTTGTAGTTTTGGTATCAAAGCTGCAAAAGCTATTCTTAACAAAAATTACAATGTATTATCTTATGTGAAACCTTAAGAACCTGCAGAAGTAAGAAGAATAAGGTATTATTATTGGGTAAATAAGAGAACACACAATTACTGAGACTTACTTGAATATATTCAATCTCTTCAACTGACATAAGTTTCCTCCTGTATTTTTGAGGTAAGATTCTTGCTAATTCAGAAGTGTCTGGTGCACCTTGTGCCCTACTAGCAGGTGAAATATTTTGAAAGGCCAGTGGTCTCCCTCCTATGGACTCCTGTGCACTTGAATCATGAGGTGACGGAACACTTGCTTGTAGAGATTCCTGTACTGAAACCCAGATTGAAAAGCAATGTAAAGAAATACAACAATATTGTACAATTAATTAGATGAGCGGCAAATATGTCACTGACAAGTACTTTTGTCCTAACAGATATTAATATACTCAACTGATCACAACCTGTTTCTGCTGTCACTAAATACATCAAAAGCACAATGAAAATACTCTGAAATTAAGAGATAGTATATTCAAGTGGAAGAAGTATTAATATGGAAACAAAAATGAAATCAGTATATATCCTAACAAAGGCTTTTTTTTTTTTTAAGTGGGAAGCTTTCCTTGCAGAAAAAGTATACAGTATCATAATTGTGTTGTGGAGAGGGTAATGCAGAACGACAATTAAGATGAATAACTGAGATGATGCTTTTGTTTACTGCTGCTGTAAAGAAAGACAGGTGAAAAAGAGCTAGAGGTTTACAGAAAGGGGAACGTCACAACAGTGACAATACACACAACTCTGCACTTGTTTTTAATATTATACGACGGGCAGTCTAGTATATCAAATTATGTCAGAATGAGGCTCACATATTGAGTATCAGCAATCAAACTGTTAATGAGATGTAGTGACCAAGTAGCATTTAAATACTTTGTAAGTGAGGTCAAGGAGCAAGTCTTAAGGAATTTGCATGAGGGAAGCTGCCTCCAGTTTGAGAACAGGAAAACTGATAACAAACGGGCACTATTACCAAAATCAGCATTTTGGATCTCAGGTCTGTCCCTCCATGTCAGGTCTTACAGCAGAAATACAGTTACCATACCAGGCAGGACTGAGTCTCATAGCTATATGTTTATATCAGAGGTATTGAAGACCTCTGTATACAAAGTTAAGAGACCTGATCAAGCAGAATGCTGCCACAGAAAGTTTTTCTCAGTGCCTCTGAAAAATTATCAAGAAGAACACAACATCTAAGTGGCTGAAACAGAAGTACTCAAAATTATACAACAACCAGCGTCATCAAGACTGAGCAAAGATGTTAAAATGCCTCAATACTGTCTGCACCTCTCCCTGCTGCCTCCAGCGAGATTGGTAAAGAGAAAGGAGGAGCTATAGGATGTCTGAGTCATTTGGGATAGGAATGAAAACCAGCTGCAGCAAAGTCATTCAGCAACTGTTGGTAAAAACAAACAAATCCCACCCCCCCCCCCAAAAAAAAGCCCCACAAAAGCAACAAAAAATATAACAGAAAAATGTCATTGAGAGGTCTACCAAGAAGTTCTCACTCAGAAGACTGTACCTGAAAGCTACAAACTGATCAGTTGGTTCAGAAAAGGAGGTCTCAAACAGAGTGAGGAGGAAGAGAGCCCATCAACAGGCACACCAGCCGAACAGAGGGTATGCCATTAAGATGAAATTCTAAAATTTAAGAGTGAAGGCAAAGGGAACAGAAAAGGAAAACAGAAAGAAGAGCTGTTTGCCAGATTTCATGCCGTTTTGGCCAGTAGTGCCTGGAATATATTTTTGTTTCAAATGATAAAATATATGAAAAATGAGAAACTTTTTTCTTTTTTTTTTCCAAAAAGCTAGTTTTATACAGCATGAAAACATTTAGAGATTTGCCTGAGATTCTCCTCTGTCATACAGTTTCAAGTCTGATATACAGCTGGAACAAAAGCATTAGTCAAGTAAAAACATGAGAACTCAGTACTGAAAAGTATCAGACCTAAGCTGCAGTTGCTTTAGCTCATACACTGTCTACTGTTTTTTTTTTCCTTCCCTATGTTTGATAGCATACCGCAATAGTAATAGCGGTAATAGTAATAAAAGAATTTGACTGGCCTTTCAGCACAGTTTCGGACAGCACAGCCTTGATCTGCAACATTCTGCTTGGCTGTGCACAAGCAGCAGTCTGGTATGGTAAAACACAGTTACTGCTGCAGCCTTCGAGCAAATAGACAGATTGCAATTTTTGAGGTGACTGAATACGGGTAGAATGGTCTATCATAGAATAAAAGTGTATAGTGGCAAAATTCTTCTGGTGCAGAGATAAACAAGATGTAAGTAACACGCTTTTTATGCCTCTGAGAAAGCAGTACACTAGCATGAGAGGCGGTATGAGTGACAAAGTTATCTCAAAAAATAGTTCCTGACTAGTTCACAGGTATGGCAGAAGTGGCACTGATGTGCACTGTAGATACTTTGTAATGTAAATGGATAAACTAGCCTTACAGCTGCATTACAGATGTAATAATGCTATGACAAATATATGGAACAGTTGCTCATCTACTAAGTTGCTTCCAAATGTTCTTTTTACAGAACAGTCATACTTCACACTTCAGACTGTTTTCCAGAATTAGGGGTCTGAAGGCAGTAGTTTCTCAAATTTAAAATTCATGGTTTTAGCCATCAATATTTGAACATCAGGAAGAAAAAGAAGAATCCTTAGATGTCTAAGCAAGTCTTCCAGGAGATAATTCTGGTGCTGAAAATTTTTGACCTGACTATTAGGAAAATAAATAAATAAATAAATAAATAAATAAATAACAATCAGTAGTGAACTAAAAAAAAAAAGTCAAAACAACCATAAATTCTGAACAAATGAGAGCAATGTAAGACAGCTTTGTAAGATATTTGCTATTTTAGTAAGACATTTGCTATTTTAGTTTCAAATGCTTTGTTGACTCCAAAGAAAAACAACATTCACCTTACATAGCTTTGATGTCTAAATATAGCATCTCCAGTAGTTACAAACATCAACGCAGCTATAGGTATAGATTGATGTCTCAAAGGTGGCCACGGCACTAATTACTAAGACCAGGAAACACTTCTTAAAACGTACAGTGGGATAGCTCTGCCACCTGCAACCAAGGTTTTAAATACCACAAACATTAAATACCACAAAAATCAAGAAAAGAAAAGATGAGGAAAATGCAACAGCATTTCTGCAAACATCACTGAATGCTTAAAGCTGACCTCATATTCAGGTGAATATGAGTATGTGCAGAAAAGGGACTTTGTGTAAGTAAATCTTAAAGAATCTGGCCTGAACTAGAAACAGATGCAAGAAATAGACATGCATGCATTATTTGTATTCCTCCAGTTTTAGAGGAGACATCAGTGAGTTATTTCAACCTAAGAGCAGGGAACAAATGGATAAACTAAAGAAGAAAAGAAGAAATTGAATGTGGAAAAGGGGCCTGTCCACCTGGGATAAATATAGGAATGTTGTCAGGGCCCAGGGATGCAACAAAGAAGGCTAAGGCCCTCTTGAAATTAAACCTTGCCAACAAGGAAAAGGATAACAAAAAAGGTTTTTTTAAAGTATGTCAACAGTAAAAGGAAGATGAGGGAAAATGTGGGTTCCCTACTAAAAGAGATTGGTGCCCTGGTAAAAGGGGATGGTGAGAAGGCTGAGGTTCTGAATGCCCTCTTTGCTTCAGTCTTTAATGCTAAAACTAGCTCTCAGGTATCCCAGACCCTGGAGATAAGAGAGAGAGTCTGGGGAAAGGAAGAGTTTCTGTAGGTCGAAGTGGATCTGGTCAGAAAGCACCTAGCCAAAATCCAACAAAACACACATCTGTGGGCCACAACAGTTTGCACTCAGATGTGCTGAGAACTGCAGAGGTGATTGCTGAACTGTTCTCTATTGTCTTTGAACGGTCTTGGCAAATGGGAGAGGTACCTGCAGACTGGAGGATAGCCAATGTCAGTCTTCAAAAAGAGAGGAGGAGAATCAGAGAAACTACAGGCCAGTCAGCCTCACCTCTGCCCCTTGAAAGGTGATGGAACAACTTCTTCTGGATGCCATCTTCAAGCAATGGGAAGAGAAGATTATCAGGAGGAGTCAACATAGATTCACCAAAGGGAAACCAAGTGATAATGTTCTATGATGTCATCAATGGCTAGACAGATGGGGAGTGAGCAACGGATGTTGTGTACCTTGATGGCAGCAAGGCTGTCTCCCACGACATCCTTGTTATGAAACTTAGAAAATGTGGGATAGATCAGTGGACAGTGAGGTAGATTGAGAACTGGCTGACTAGCAGAATTTTGAGGGCTGTATCAGCAGCACAGAGTCTGGTTGGAGGCCTGTAAGGAGCAGTGCTCTCCAGGGGCCGGTGCTGGATCCAGTCTTGTTCAACATTTTCATCAATGACCTGGATGAAGGGATAAAGTCCACCTTCGAGAAATTTGCTGATGATACAAAACTGGGAGGAATGGCTGAAGGCTGTGCTGCCGTTCAACAAGACCTGGACAGACTGGAGAGTTGGGAGCAACATGATGAGGTTTAACAAGAGCAAGTGTAGAGTCTTGCACCCAGTGAGGAATAATGTCATGCATCATTACAGGTTAGGGGTGACCTGCTGGAGAGGAGTGAAGGACCTGGGGGTCCTAGACAACAGGTTGGCTGTGAACCAGCAGTGTGCCCATATTGCGAAGAAGGCCAGTGGTATCCTGGGGTGCATTAAAAAGAATGTGGCCAGCAGGTTGAGGGAGGGAACCCTCCCCCTCTACTCTGCCCTGATGAGGTCAAAAAAGGGAGTCCAGTGGAGGGCCACAAAGATGATTAAGAGCCTGTGCGAGGAAAGGCTGAGTAACCTGGCTTTGTTCAGTCTGGTGAAAAGAAAAACATGGGGGGACCCAATAAATATCTACGAATATCTAACTGGAGGTGGAAAGCAAATGGATGACGCCAGGCTCCTTCGGTAGTGTGTAGCAAGAGAACAAAGAGAAATGGCCTAAAACTTGAACACAGAAAGTTCTGTACTAACATGCAAAAGAACTTCTTTAGAGTAGGGGTGACAGAGCAACTAGAACAGGCTGCCCAGGGAGATTGTGAAGTCTCCCTCTATGGAGATATTCGAGACCCACTTGGACGCCTACCCGTCTGACCTACTGTAAGGTATCTGCTCTAGCAGGGGTTTGGACTCATGATTTCTTGAGGTCTCTTCCAACCCCAATGATTCTGTAAAACAATCCTTTTTCAGAAACCTTATTCTGAATCAGGGGAACCATTTGGCTGAAGCAGAAAGTGCATTCTGGTACAGAACTGGTAAGGCAAAGAGAGCTGGGGCCTGCTGCATCCTCAGGCAAAACACTTACTTTTAGGCCTGGGACCACTTTTTCTGTCCGGAAACTTAATCAGCGGAGTATGTGGCTTCACTACCTGCAACGTAACACGGCAGAAGAGGAAATAAGGTGAACAACGTGTACCTCCGGACAAACATTAACATCGCAGTAATACAAAGTGACACGCACCGTTATACAACCCCTCCGTGCCGCTGCTCTGCGCACTGACAGTTTGACCACCTCAGCGGCCGCCGTTTCGCTTCCACCCAAGGAGGAACCTCACCCTTGAAGGTCTTCCTCCGCCCTCGCGTCCCAAAAGGGCGCCGCGTCCCCTTCGCCTCCCTCGGCCAAACCGCCGCGCGGCTCGGAGCCCCGAGCAGCCCACAGGGCGCCGCGCACCGCAGGACCCGCTGCGGGCCGGCCCCGCCGCACGCCCGCTCCCCACGCCAAGGACACCGCCGGCCTCCGCCTCCCCGCCGCAGCCCCTGGCCCAGGCCTCTCCAGGCCCCGCCGTCCGCTCCCGACGCCCGCGGGCCGCGCCGAGCTGCCGGCCCCGCCGCCGCGCCGCTCCCGACGCGCCCTCGCGGAGGGCGCCGGTACCTGCACGACCCGAGTGGCCGCCGCCATCTTGCTGCCCATGGTGACCCCCGCCGCGCCCCGCCGCCCGCCCGAGGGGCAGCGCCGCGCCGCGCCCCGCCCCGCCGCGTGGGCAGGGCGAGCCGAGCGGGCGGGGCCGCAGGGCGCCGGGCGGGGCGACCGCGAGGAGAGACTCCGCCCTTTTACAAAGCGGACACCGTAAGCAGGAACGCAGCGCTTTATTTAGGCCGTTAGACGCGGACGGGTTTAGCCGGTCGAGTACAGGTTAGGCACGCCGGTGTTGAAGGAGGCAGGGCGCTGCTCGCACCGCAGCCCGTATCTAATTCCCGGGTGCTCGACCTAGCTCATCACCGCGCAGTGCAGAAACACGCTTCAGAGCGTGCAGAAAACGTCCAGAGCTTAAAATATAACCAAGTCTATGTTCTAAGCCTGTACATAAGAGAAACTTCAGAAAGGTTAAAAACTCAAGTTGAAAGGGTGATTTCACTAAAGAAGATACAACGTATTAAGTAAGTACAGTCTACAATTAAACAACATCTTCCCAACTACAAGAGATTTTGAATGGAGATATCTTTCTCAAGCTGTAGAATAATTGCTTTTAAAGATGGATCTTTTGCCCAGCTGATTTGGCATCCGACTATGATATTCTGCAAGACAGAAAAAACATAGTTTAAAAACCACAAATGTCTTCAAAAAGAAGATCAAAAGGTAGAGTTGGCTTTTTTATCTGCTTTTTTTTCTTTCCAAATTTGGAAGTCCAAATTTGGAAACTCATAGCATAATTTTAAATGCCAGGCAGGACTAGAGGTAGGAGGTGATCTTACTGTCAATACAAGGGCAAAAAACAAACAAACAGAACAGCCCTTTAGATTTTCTGCTGGTGCTGGCACACTATTCCTATTTTAAAAATAGCAATTTAAGAGGTTTGTTTATTTTTTTTTTTAACCACAGGAGAGAAAGTTTGCCTCAACATACGCTGATAGTTTCTGACATTCTCACTTTGCCATTCTGGACTGAACATGGGAATTCTTAAATTTAACCAAAAAGATTTGTCCATTTATGTCATTTAGTACATAAATAGAACTAGTTAAACGTAACACAGAACCCACTAAAACATTTAATTTCCCATTCTTAGTGAGATGAAACATATTTCAAACCACTGGTAGACAAAGCATGCAACACAAAAACACGTGGCTTCTTTTCTGTTCTTGATATTTTTCTGAGCAGATGAATTCACAGTTTATATCCTGTCTTCCATCTAAACACCTCAACATTCACACACATATTTAAAGAAACTGTGCATTCTTCACTGGCACGTCATAACTAATTAGACAAACTCATAGCTCCTGCAATTCACTGTGCCTCTCATCTCTGTATTAATTAGGTCACCGATCTGCAAGGTAAGGTGTTACAAGCAATGCTGTGAAAAGACAAGAACCAGCCAGCAGCAGAGGGTATATGACCTTTAGTAGAGCCCTTCTAAGCACAGGATGTTGCAGGATGCTCTCCTCCTGCTCAAATCTTGCATCAGTTGTCTACCTTACTTTGCAGATGGCAAACTCCAGGAAATCTGCCAGCCAGTTGTGCTAATACAGACTATTCAGCAGAAGCTGACAGATGAGTAACAAAGAGCACGAAGGCTACACTGATGGAAACATTTAAAAACACTTTCACAACACTGCGAAGGGCAACATGTAATTAGAAGCAGTCTGGCTCACTGGTATCACGGGTTTAAGACCTACTTATTTGTTCTGGTTTGGCGGGGTGTAGGGGTGACTCACAGTGTAAGGAAATATGGCCTCTGCCATAATAGACACACTTCTGGAAAATGTATTATCTCTGTAGTTTTAAGGGAACAGAGGGATGGAACAGAGGGATGGACATTGATAGACTGTTTCTAAACTCTGTAAATCATTATTCCATACTAGTTTCTAATGATTTAATACTTCTGTTTTTTTTAAAAAAAGGTATGTCTTACTGCAGTTTTTTAATTTGATGCTATTATAAAAAGATTTTAGAAAACACAATTCTGTTAGAAGTTACATTCAATAGTTATCTTTTTGTAATGCAAACTACAAACTGCTTCTGAAAGCTATGACATTACCTGGAGTATATTCTGAATTAACGTAATCACCTTCCTTTCATACTGTACATTCCTATGGAGTAACTTCAACTTTTCAGCCATTTTCATTCTTGCTACTTCCTTTTTTTTCCTCATTGTGGTAAAAATTAGTAGCACCTTCCCTTCTTCAGCCTGTTTCAGAACTGTTCCATTATTAGGAAAACAAAGCATTCAAAAATTGATTAGTGGGCAGAAGACCTAAAGAGCTGCTTCTTCCTTATAGACATCTAAGGCAGTTCCATTGTAGTAGATCAAACTCACTCCATTCCTTCTCTCCAACGTACCTTCCATAAGAAACAAATGCTGTGGGTATCTGGTACCAACATACACTGACTGGTTCCCTGGCAGCTAACAAAACTGTCTGCGTTTCCATCAGACATGGATGCTGATTTGAACACCTGTCCCACACCCTGTCTCCATTCGGCACAATTTTACAGACAAAGGCATTTTAGATCTTTTTCCTGTTTTCAAATTTGATGGAAAACAAATTCAGAAGTCATACGAAGAACATATGGACAATACTAGTAATATTACCGCTAGAAAACTAGGCTAAAATTCAGTATGGATAAGGGAGAGTTCTTATATAGAAAGCATGAACAGGAAGCCCTGACCCAGTATTCCTTCTCTTATTTCTCAAGGTATTACTGAAAAGTGATTTCAACTCTGAATTTGACCTACTATAATAAGCATACTGAATAACAAGACCTGTACTATTACACAAGTTCTTCATAAGTACATCCACTCACTCCTAATTCACAAACCTTTAACAAAAGTACAGTTTGACAAAAAAAAATATCCTTTAGACCTCTAAGAACTGATCTGAGTTCGTGTAAGTAAAGCGTAACTTGCTGGGGAGCTTGTACTAAATACTGAAACATCACCACCATTTTTTTTAGTACACTCTTGTGTCTCTGGCCTACTATCTGACTGGTATATTCTATTGTATCAGACTTACTTATATGTAGACATCATACAAGCTTATTTTTATATACTGCATACACCCCTCTTCAGAATTTTTATAACTGTATCGGGAATTTCATAGTTACTTAATATTTCTAAAAAAGCAGATTAAGATATGAACTGTATTTTTAATTATATAACAAAGCCAATATATAAAAAACACTTACAATATCTTTTCCTTCTAACGTCATTCAAATTCTCTCTAATCACACGTGCTTGCTGAAAGAAAAAAAAAATCCTGGACCGTTATCTCCTGTAAATATTGATGATGCTAATTCAGTCTGCAGAAGCAATTAAGTGCAGCTTTAGAAGCAGACTTTTTTATATATTCATATTCAGTAACCATTTTGCTAATTTTAACACCCCTAGGAACCACATTTGGGCCACATATTTCCTGTTTCCTGCATTCCTGTTACTTGAAACTGTTCCTTTGTCCCTGTTGGCAGGCCTGTGTAACTGCAACAGAAGGTACAATTGACATTTACCTGATGAGCTTGAAATATTTCGCAGTTGAGCTCGATTATGTTTTTCATCGTTTCCATAATTAGCCTAATGAAGGAAATAGTTACATTATTTATGACCATTATGATGTGTCAACAACATAAATGCTTTAACCAAAGTTATTTAATCAAAAAATGCCCATTTATCTTAACACCAAAATAAAGGGTACTATACCAAATATAGTTATAGGCACTAAGTAATCTCCTTGTTTCCACTCAGTTTTGCTAATATTTTCATTTTAACTGAAAATTTGTCTGATACTTCAAATCATAGAGCCTGTGAAACAGGGAAGCCAAACTTGAGAATGGCAAGTGATGGAGCTCCTGAATTCAGGCTTGTGACAGGGACGTAATGGAGATCGGGTGGAATGCCTGTCTAAGAACATGGCTATTCAGGTCTGTAGATGCAAAGAAAGCCAGAGCCTGCTGCTACCGGTAGAGTGGTAGAGTATAGTACCTGCATGAGCTGTGAGCACGTATAAGATCTGCTCAGCCTGGTGGCAGAACTCAAGGAGGAGGTGGAGAGGTTGAGGAGCTTCAGGGACTGTGAGCAGAAGATAGACTGGTGGAGTAACTCCCTGCCATAACAGTGAGAAAGGCACTGTGGTGATACACCTCAATCAGTAGTGGACTCCCTGCCCTGTCACTGTCAGGCAGAGCGAGGGGACCTAAGAGACAGGGAGGAATGGAATCAGATCCCAGCTCAGTGTCACAGGCAAACCCTGTCCCTACCTACCTCAATTCCCCAGGTACCCCTACATAATAAGTTTGAGGCTCTGGATCTCAAGAGGTGAGTGAGGATACGGTGGAAGGTCCACCCAGAGGTTGTCTAGTGTGAGGCAATCGACTCCATGCCTCAAGACCGCCTCTGCCAAGAAGTAAAGAAGGGTATTGTCATAGGCAACTCCCTTCTGAGGGGAAAGGAAGGCCCAATATATTGGCCCTGATTATTGTCTTTTACTGACAGCTCAGGCTGGCAAAAACGAATTTGCTGAGAGAAGCCTGAGGACTATCAAATGGGATTTCAGGGGGCTGGGGTGATTAGTTGATGGAGTGGGAATATAGATGGTATTTTTCTCTATCCCTTCAGTGGCAGCAAGGGATACTGAGAGGACCAGGAAGTCATCTTATAAAAGCAAGACTAAGATGCTGGTGCCATTGCCAGAATTGGTTTTTTTTTTTTTACCATGGGTTGGTTACTCAGCATCTGGCCTGATGCCTGCAGATGGGTCTCATCTGTCTCAAAGGGGGAACAGATCCTAGTCCAGGAACTGGCAGAGCTCACTGAAAAGGGGGGAGGTATTAAAAGAAGGCTTTCTAAAGATGAGCCTGGGGGAAACAATCCTGGGGTTGGGGCAGAGGCAAATGGCAGCAGGCAAACTATGACTTAGTTGCCATTATGGAAATATGGTGGAATAGCTCCCATGGCTGGAGCATTGCAGTGGATGGCTATAAGCTCTTCAGAGGAGATAGGCATGGAAGGAGAGGGGCAGTGGCCTGGCTCTCTGCCTTAGAGAGTGTTTTCATGTTGTTGAGCTCAGTGCTGGGAAGGTTCAGTGTCTATTGGCAAGGATCAGGGAAGGGCCAACAAGGCTGATATCCTGGTGGGGATCTGTTATAGACTGCTTAACCAGGATGAAGAGACAGATAAGGCTTTCTGTGAGCAACTGACAGAAGTTGTGTCATCACCAGCCCTTGTTCTTATGGGGGACTTCAACTTCCCTGATATATGCTGGAAATATCATACAGTGCAGAAGAAGCAGTCTGGGTTTCCAGTGTGTGGAAGTTAACTTCCTGATGCAGCTGGTAAGAGAACCTACTAGGGAAGCACCCCGCTAGACCTGCTATTCACAAACAGGGAAGGACTGGTGGGAGGTGTGGAGGTTGAGAGCTGTCTTGGAAAGTGATCATGAAATGGTAGTTCTCCATTCTTCATGAAGTCAGGAAGGAGCCAGCAAAACTGCTACCTTGGACTTTCAGAGGGCAGACTTTGAACAATTCAGTACCCTGGTAGGGAGCCCTTGGGATTCTGAAGGGTAAGGGGTCCAGGAAGGCTGGACGCTCCTCAAGAAAGAAGTCTTAGAGGTGCAGGAGCAGGCTGTTTTCCTGTGCTGAAAGATGAAGTGGTGGGGAAGAAAACTGACATGGTTGAACAGGAAACTTTTTCTGAGGCTCCAGGAGAAAAAGAGTGTCTACCTCCTCTGGAAAAGGGGACAAGCAACTTGTGGAGAGTACAAAGAAGTTGCTAGGATATGCAGGGAGAAAATCAGAAAGTCGACAGCTAAGCTTGAACTCAAAACACCTTACCGTGTGCAACCATCATTTTGTTTCACTTTCTTTCTCAGAGCATCCATAACCTGGATCCTGGGTGGTATAAAGAAGAAACATACCTCTGATGAAAACTGGCAAGAAACTGAGAGATTTCAGTTTAGGTAAATAGCAGAAAAGAGATTTCCAAGTTATATTTATACCTACTTTGGCTTTAGAATTGCATATTAAGAAAAAACAACAAAACAGCCACAACAGTAACTTTCAAACATCAAACTTGTTAAATACTGAAGCTTCATTCTCAGGACAAGAAAGGTGTAACAATCAACCATTTGTAGGAGTAACAATGCATTTCTCTCTTGACAAATATGCTTCAGACACCATTAGTCCCAGTCTGTAGGAGGGAAGCTAGGCAAAGGTAGGAATTCAAATGAACAGTCATGCAACATAGGAGACACAAAACTATCATAGGAATTTGTTAAATACTACCAACAGCTTTGTTTCTAGACACACACAAACTGTCTTTTTGTAATTTTGCAGGATCTCAGAGGCCTGCATGTGCTTCTTTTTATTTATTGTTATTCCCTATGGTACCTGCCTTTTTGTTCCTGAGGTTTCAACGGTGTTAAATCCCTCATGTTTGCAACACATGCTCCATCACTTTGAAATTCTATTTTAATCAGAATTATGCAATTGTGCATGCATGTGCACACAGATAAAGCAGCAGAAAGCCTCCAACTAAACGGGAAGAAGAGCCATCTACCTTTGTAAGGCTAATGCTTTGCTTTCAAAGGCAATTTTTACTTTCTCCACTTCTTCCATACTTTCTTTGGCACTGAAAAAAAAAAAAAAAAAAGCATGAAAAGAACAAAGAAGTTTAAAAGCAATCTCCAGTTCTTAACTTGCTCTCTGCATGAGTTTTTCCTCTAGGCTAAAAGTCATTCAAGTTTCACATTTTAACACGGTGAAATATGTTACTGAATTCCAGCCATCACCAGAAGGACTGCAAATGTACATGGCAGGAACCATGGCAGCTACAGAACTACACTAGAAGACGGAGAGGAATATCTCTTTGCCATAGTTCCTTCACTCGCTTTAACTGAAGCCTTATGTAGCAAGGATCGTTAACGAGGAGCTCTTACCGAGCAGCACCAAAAGAGCATTTCTGGCGTGTTTTAACTGAAGAACGGTTTGGAACCGAGCCGAGAAGTTTGACCGTAAGGAATCGCATACCTTTCGATGAAGTTGAACTCCATGCCACTGCTGCACTCTTCATCTGCAAAGTAAGAGCGTCAGTTCAGCGCCGCAGGCCGTGCCGGAGCGCAGCGCCGTGCCGGAGCGCGGCTCACGGCGCCCCCCTTCCCCGCCCGCCGCGCCGGAGGCACGGTTCGGCTTTCGAGCGCTTCCATTGCAGCTCGAGGGACGTGCCGACTGCGCGCCTCCGTACGCCGCTCGGCGGAAAGGGACGCGGGGGAAGGGAGCGCGACAGGACCGCGGAGGAACGGCTCACACCTTCGGAGGGCGGGGGGGCGAACCCCGGCGGCGGCGTACTGCGCGGGCAGGCGGTGCTGAACTCCATCACCAGCTGCTTCAGATGCGTCCTCACGCTGCAACGGAGCGAACGACACCATCAGCCCCGCTAGCCCTCCCTCCCGCCCGCCGCTCTCAAGCCACCGTCCACGCGGCGCTCCCGCCCCGCCCCGCGGCACGAACCAGAGGTGCTCCAGGACGTCCCGCTTCACGTTCGGATCGGCCGCCTCCTCGGCCTCGGCGCCCGACCCAGCCGCGACGGACTCCGGCCGCCGCCCCGCCATTGCCTCTCCTTCAAACAGCCGCGCTCCCGTCAAGCACCGCGAGCCGCCCGGCCGCGCTCACTTCCTCCCGCGCACCGCGGCCAACGGCGGCACCGCCCCGCTCGTCCTCAGGGCGGAGCGTCGGCGTCTGTGAAAGCCGCTGGGGCGTGATGAGCGCTGCTCACTTTGCGTCACCGCCCGCCCGCCACAGCTCGGAGCAGGCGGGGACGAGGTTGCAGCAGGAAACAACCGTCTTTATTAGTAGAAGTGAAATATATAAGACAGAATAAATAGAAACTGATTGCTGACGCTACTGGAATTCAGAGAAAGAATCCAGCAGAGGCAGGGCGAGGTCGTGGATGAGCAAAGAGCGCAGCTCCATCGCAACGCCTGTCCTGAAGTTTTTGCTCCTTGTTCTTTACTGCCTGCAAACAAACAAGGGAGATGAAGTCTCTGCAGCCCCTGCAGACGGGAGGGGCTGGCGGGGCCTGCCAACCCCCTCCCCCACCTGCAGCTGGCCCGGGGAGTTGGGCGGTTCCACACACGGCTCAGGGCACAGCCAGGCTGTCTTGGGAACGCTGCGTACCGACACAGCGATCACACTGCCTTTGCCGCAGTGAGATTCCTACCGTGTGTTTGACAACGCCTTTGTTCATGAGAACCGCGTTCTTTGCCAAACGTTGCATGGCAGGGAGGAGGTCACTCTCACTGCGTAACGGGTGGTGTTGCAGAGCTGATGTCTGAAAAGAAAGGGAGTTGCTAGACAGGCCTGTTAGAACTCGGTGCATTCTTTGACTTTCCAGTCGTAGTCTCCTTAGTAACACAGGAGTGCCACCTTGTCCCCCTGGTACGGGCCAAGGGGAGAAAACACCATACTAATGTTATCAATTGAATAACAGACCAAACGTCAAGAAGCCAATTATTAAATTTATTAATTATAATGAATAAAGAACAAAGAGGCAATGCAGCGCTGGGCGACAGGGGACTCTGCGTTCCACCAACTGCCGCGAGGTTTGGGTTAGCACGCGGTCCTTTTATGCCCTATTGTGGTGTACTCTGCGCATGATCCGGTTGTTACTAGGGGGTCCTATTCTGCCTCCTGGCGGCGGTGCGGGCCGAAGCAAGCAGTTTTCCTCCGTACCCCCC